ATGAGTCAACAGTCAGGTCTGCTGCTTGATTTCTCTGAGAATAGGTCAGAGGATTTAGCAATAATATGGAATAAGGAATAAAACATAACAAGACATGCTTGACACCCTCCCTGAAGTCATTATTCTCCTCTAATTTCACAATGTGTAAAACACAATCTGTTTTATTCCTCTTATATCACAGAAATTTACTAATGATTCCAATTTTTATTTATTAAAGACAGCACATCTGTTGTTATGTTTTATACATTTTATGTTTAGAGTTCAATTACATTTTGTGGGAAGTCCATGAAACAAGAAAGTTACTGTTATCAGTTACGTCAAACAGCTATAAACAGCCGTTTCCTCACCAGTCTCTTTTTTTTTCTCTCTTGCTGTTAATAAGACAAAGAAAATGCACTTGTCATGTTACTGAGAAACTGCGAAGTACAACATCCTCTCTCCTGAACACTCCTTTGTGTCGGAAGACTTGATACAAAACGCTGACATTGGAGACTCCTTCCATAAATGTTACATAAATTCCCCACACAATGCTTCATTACAAGAATGATGATATGTTTTTTAATGTTTTTTTCAAATAACATGTTTTTAAAATCTATTTATTATTACTCTACAATTAATATCTGCCATAAAAGTCCCTGTTAATGAGTTGTTGCTTTACAAATTATAACATATTAGAATGAATGCATTATTTTGCACTCACAGGCAACACTATTGTCAGAGTCGTGCTGTTACAAAAAATTAATCAAGACCTTTGGACCAATCAGATTCGAGAATTCAACAGCGCTGTGTTATAAAAGGCTCTACAGAATGTTCGTATGTGCTTAACCCATCTATAGCCTAATTAAAAATCCAACCACACCAAGGTAAATAAGCATGGAAGGCTATTTTGTCCTCTCCTCAGTTGCTATGGGAATAAATCAGAGAGATGTGTGGTGTAAACTGAATGCTAAAAATACCTGGGAGGCTTTCAGGATAGCACTCAAGCAGGCTGTCTAAAGCAGACTACCTGGAATTAAAGATTCGGTTCTTTATACCAAGCATTAGGGCTAATGGTAGTTCAGCGGATGTGATTCAGTGCTAATAAGCAGAACTTGGTGAGTTCAGGTCCCAAGATTTCAGGAAAGCCATTGTTGGATCCTTGATAAAGGCACTTCAACTTCAATTACTATTACAATACAATAAAAGTATAGAACGTTTATGCTCTGAAGTGAGATTGCAAATTAAATTAACGATTAAAGACAATGACGTAAACAAAGAAGATAATGTTGATGTGTAAAAATGTACGAGTTGCTGCTTTCCTTACTTAACGTCCTGCTTTTAAAACACGTGAATACACTTGTGAAATTCAAGGCTATTCACTTACAGTGTAGTCCAAAGAGAGATTTTTCACTTTGCTTTGCTTTCTCATCATTGATTTTTTTTTTTAAGTCATCCGAGATGTTTTAATATGCTTTCGTTGTTCGCTTGCTTTGCTCATTTCTGAATTGGTGGTCAAGTAAATGCACTTATTTCTGCTAAATATACCTCAACATTGATTGGATGTTTGAAAGACTTTGAAATGTGGAGAGCAGTTCTCCTCATGTCACCTCATATATTCCGTTTTTTTTTTTTTCTACAGGGAAAAATGGCGAAGAAAGATGCGAGCACTGCAAAGTTACCAGTCGATCAGTACCGCAAACAGATCGGTGAGTTTGTAACCTTTATCAGATATTCACCGGGTACTTCCAGCTTTTCCTAATTCATTTCTACTGCTAGGAAATTGTAATGAGATGGGATGGCATTATATATGTTACAAATATATGAAGGGAAATGAGCAAAGAGTCTCTGAAGAACAAATTCCTGACAAACATGTCAGAAAAAAAAGCTTTTCAAAGCTTTTCAGTTAAGCTTTTCAGATAGAAAAGAGGTTGGAGGCAATTAGAAAGTCAGTGGATAGACAAACACATTGTTAGAGAATATTAAAATTACATTAAGAAAGGGACAGCAAACTTTTAAGATGATATGATGTTTTGTTTTTTTAAACTTAATATCTTAACAGACAATATCTGATCATTTTTGTTTCTATGATAATAAAGCAACACTAACACTAAATGGTTGTTATAAACTAAATTACTCGGTCTTCTTCATTTTGTTCAGGGTTTGCAGAGTTTTTTAACGTGTCAGTATACATGATGTATTCATGTAGAGTACTGTATAATTGTTATGTAAAATTGTATTGTATACCTATTAGAGGCCATAAAATATTTCTTAAGAATTATAATATCTTTTGAAAAGTCATCTTTGATATCTTTGAGTTTTTCTTCGTTATTAATTGTAAGTGCTATAAACTTTATTTCTCAAAAGTATATACATTGAAAAAAATACATTAGGCAAAATTAATTTGTGTACAGTACTGATAAATATTGCAGTTTTAGTAAAAAAAAAAAAAATACAAAAGGGAAATTGCAGTTTCTACATAAAAAATGTAACACTTCAGAAGTCAGTAAGTAAATGGAGTTACTCTTACCACCCTGAAGTTGATTATTTTACAAGAATGGCACATCCCAAAGCATTTTATTCCTCTTATACCATCACAATTCACCAATGATTACAATTTTGTATTCATTAAAGAATGACACATCATCCTTTTTTTTTTACAGTTTATAGTTATATTTAATGATGAAGAATGTCCATGAAAGAAGTTAGTCCTTGTTATGACTTACATTATAGCAGCTATAAACAGTCATTTTCTCTGAAGTTAATAAGGCAGAAGAAATGAAGCTTGTTACTTCGAACGTCCTCAGTCCTGAAGACTTTGCCATGTTGGAACAATTTTATCTCTGATTGTTACAAAGCACTGACACTGGAGACTCATTCCAGAAATGTTATATAAATGTCTTCTTCCACCATGTTTTTCTTTGTTAAGAAACAAATGTTGTAATCAGTTTTATTAGGCTTAGATTATGTACTGCGTCAACCGACAAGTCCCTGTGAACGTACTGTTGCTATAGAAACAGTTATGTATTAGAAGGACCGCATTAATATGAACCTGTGGTTTGAATTATAGCTGCCACTATTGTCAGAGCTGCTGTTGTAGAAAATTAATCAGATTTGAAAATTCAACAGCGCTGAGGTATAATAGCATTTATATAAAATGCTTCCATTGCAAGGTATTTTAAGCAGAGTTATGAATTATAAATCCAGGCTTTGTTCTAAAGTTCTAATTGTGAAAATGCAAATTGGTAAGGTTTAACTCCATGATGTTGTTTCACTAGGCGCAGCGACTTTGCTTTGTGTTGACATAGCCTTGATATTGTGTACATAGTAACACAGTCTGTCATCTCCGCCATTACCCACATGCTTTATTTTATGTGAGCTCATTTTGAACCCCTTAGTAGGGTTATTTAGCTTGTTGTGCGCCGTCACCCCATCTCATCACACCTCTGTTTCATGTCTTGGAAGAAACATAACAAGCTGAACCCCTGCTGAAACCTCAGCATCTCAGCCATATTCGATTTTGTTTCATATTTTTTTCCATCTCGTCTGTTCAAAGACATAACAGCAGGTAATGGACAATAAGAATCCCTCCTCCCGTCTCAGTTTGCTTTGAAAAGAGCCTCCATCGGCCAATTTCAACTAATCTCTGTTTAACGAAAAAAAAAAAGAAAGTGTCATCTGAAATGGCGCAAAGAAACACAAAAGAAAGAATACACAGCACAATTTGAAATCGTAATGAGGAGGTAATTTATATCCTGTCAAGTTTGTTTTTTTTTTCTTCTGGCCAGTGAGCTTTTGTGATGTTCAGTGTTACAGCATTGATACATTGTCCTTAAATACTGTTATTACTTCTCATAATGTACTGAGAGTTTCTGTGAGCGTGTGTGTGTGTGTAGGGTGTGTGTGTGTGTGTTTGTGTGTTGTTGTTGTTGTTGTTGTTGGCTCTTGGATTTTGCCTTTGTCTTGCATTACTTGTAGATCTTTTCTAAGTCAGTGTTGATGCAACAGGCTTGTGTTCACAGTTAAGTTTGAACGTTACAGCCATGGCATCATATACTATAAATCTCCTAAATCACATGACCATGATTAATCTTTATCATGAGCTGGACTTCATTCCACTAGTGTTTTGCACACACCCATGATAACTTCCCTTTTCTATGTCCCCTGTCGCAATCTTTCGCACTACTTTATAAAGTGAATATGTTTTGTTTGATGCAAGTTTGAGGGATCGGGTCAGCATGACTGTACACATCAGAAGCAGAACTTTCCCAGAACGCATTGTGATGTGACACAATAAAATAAAAATATTTGATACATACTGACTGGGAAGTTGTGGTTTTTTGGTGGTGTATCAGACATGTAGTAGAAGTCCTTGGGTGTTTAGTCCTGTTCACTGAATTACCTCAAAAATGTTGTAACGCTTTAAAAACTGAAACAGTAAAAATTTTCAGTCAAAGTTTATGCAAAATAAATGTGTAATTTTTGAGTCAAAAAGGATTTATACAATTATCTATACAATGTGCCTGTAGCTAGACTAACCACCATGTAATAAAATATAAATAAAATTCCCCCCCAAAAAAACAGGAAAATGAGCATTTTCACCATTACAGGTTTAAGGAGAGTAGGGCAGGGCATAATGATATTAACAGCAGCGCAGTCAGGAACTGTTTGCTGGCAGTGGCAATTGCAGAAACTTAGCTGGATGGAGGTTTTTAAGATGATCTGCAGTATAGTATAAGACAGTAAACAGTGAAAAAAACATAAGAGCACATTTTCAGGAAAATATTTTTACAAATCAGTTGTCTAATGTCCACATGGCCAACATTTTCACATTTGATCTGCTGCTGCTCAAAGCACGTTAACTATGTTATTGTTGTTCTTTCAGTTGCTCCCATTGTCCGCATATTGATTTGCCACAGGTTTTACACTCGATGCCCTTCCTGACATAACCCTCCCCATTTATCCAGGCTTGGGACTGGCACTGAGAGTGCTCTAGCCTGTTCACCCCCAGTGGCTGGGGTTGGCGCCTAGCATGGGGCTCAAACCCACAATCGTGACATCAAGAGTCCCATGCTCTACTAACTCAGCTAGCCGGGCACCCAAAGCACGTTAACTACATACTTGTCTAATGTCAGTCACCTCGAACATACAATTCATCCATTTTCATATTGATGAACTAATAATATTCTCCATTTACCTTGACAGAAATTGAGGTCGCCCCACAAGTCCAGTCGAGAGCATGTGAGATTCTTTGGGGCTTCTAGCCAGCATTGGTTAATTATCAGAGAGTTCAAAACATTCAGTCATTCTAGATTAATTGGCTCATCTCTCATTTCACTGGGGAGAAAAAGACTTGGCTTTTGGCTCTTACGGCATGTTTTTGAGTGAAAACTCATACTAGTGTACTCCGATATTAAGTCACGGATCTCCTATGCAAAATGAATAAAGGTTGGTAGAGCTGGTAATATATTACAATCGGAGCAAAAGTCATTGGGCATTTGTGTCAGAGTAACATCGTGTAGGTACACTTGTTAGTACCCTTAGACTTCAGGATGCATTGTCAAGATACATTGACACAAAATCTAGGCGTGGGGCATGTTGGCAGAGTGGTAAGGCTTTGGGCTACAGGTCAGAAGGTTGTGAGTTTAAATTCCAGCACCACCAAGCTGACACTGTTGGGTTCCTGAGCAAAACCCTTAACCCTCAACTGCTCAGTTGATCTCATTTGCAAGTCACTTTGGATAAAAGCATTAGGCAAATAAGATAGTGTCTGTACCACAGATGTTGACGACACAGCACGCATCAGATTATTAAACAGACTATGCAACCAGTCTGTTGATGGCCCAGTGGTGGCTACCCATCAGACAGGACCTGTAGTCCCAGATGAACAGGTCACTGTGGCACAGCAGTCCACACATCTTCAAAATATGGGTCTGGCCCCCTGGGACTAACATGTCCACAATGAGACTTGTGGTTGGCACTTGACCACTGGGAGCACACAAACTAGTCAGAACTTTTCTCAAAGGGTACATAGTAATGGTCCAGTAAATCTCGATTTTTGTTAAGCAGTTTGTGCTTAACTTGTCAACTGAACCAACAGAAGATGCAGATGAGCTGATAAATTACATGCATTATTGGTCATCAAGCAGTGTTTACTTTGAGAATGAAATACATATCAACTGTGGCCGGACCCAGGATTCCTGCTAAGTGTATTGGCATTGCAGCATATTAATATCAATCTATTTACTCTTGCATGAGTATGTGGTCAGACCAGCCCTGTGTAAAGGGCTCTCAAGCAGCATTTGGATGGGACCGCCAGCTGTCTAAAACCAGTTTAGCCCATTGGATAAAGGAAGTGAAATACCTCATGGGCAACACTAAGAGGAGGATCACTTGTAATTGTGAAGCGGCAACAAGGTGATTTTACAGATTGAATGTTGCTTCATTGGACCCCCTGTGCTCTGTGGTGAGTTTGAATGATTCTCATCCTCCATACATAGTGTCAGAGCTTTGTGTAATTATCATGCTCAATAGTAGAAGAAGGACACTAATTTCCAGGAGCGGCAATAGAATAACTCACTGCTTTTTTCTGGATTTGCAACCAGCTTTCACGCTTTCACTCTTCATTTCTCCACTCATGTACTTGAGTGCAGTTCTCAGGGCTTCTTTCTACTTTCTCTGCCTTTGTCATATCAGACTGGTTCTTTCTTTGTGTGCTTGTGTGTTTACTTGAGGCAGCTTGGCTTGTGTGTGTGTGTGTGTGTGTGTGTGTGTGCGTGTGTGTGGTATTTTTTTTTTATCTACTCTGTCGTTGTGATGTGATGTGAGAGACAAGGGCCAAATGGCTCTCATGTGGTGGGAGTCAGCCTGTAGCACTGCTTCCTGCTGATGAATGATGGCAGTGCTTCGCCTCTCTCTCTCACTCTAAAACAGAGGCCTGTCGCCAGGCCATCACTGTTCCTGGCCCTCTAGCTAGGATTCGAGACTGTCCTCTCCAATCAGGCATCACACTGCCTTTAACTTTAATTCCGAACAACATTGCCTATAGCCTTGTCACAAAAGCTCTCACTGCTTTTTTTTCTTTCTCGGAGCAGTGTGTGTGCGCGCAACACGGCAGCTTCCTGATTCATGCACCTGCCCTTTTTTTTCCACAAGACCTGTCGCTTTTCTGATTCTGTGATTGCTTGTTTTTTGTTCCTGTCCTCCACTCTGGTTGAGGCTGTAATTGTTCCGACAAACCGTACACACATTCTGCTATGTACGAACATGTAAAAGTGTTTCTGTCTTCAAGAATTAAATGATAATTGGAAAATTACAATAATTGCATAGCACAGGAAGCATCTTGTACTCTTAGAAGTGTTAGATGGGTCTTCTGGTCTTCATGGAATCAATTTAGTAAGTCATTATTTATACATTTACATTTATTATTTTGGTAGGTGTGTTTATCCGAGTGAGGTAGAATCCAGTCTTAGCACCTGGATGGTGAGGGAGCTGGAAGTGATACCACAAAATTTCAGGGCATTATTTGAATAGTATTCAAATAGCCCAACCTCAAAATAAACAAACAGAAAAACTACACATTTATGGCACAATACATATTATTCTCCTGAAAACATTATATAACGTAAAACATGTTAACCAAAATGTACCAGAGAGTAGTAAAATTAAAAATAGTTTTTAGTTGGACATATCATAAACAGCTGCAGCATCTGTTAAAATAACGGGCTATGGTATTATTATTATTATTATTATTATTATTATTATTATTATTATTATTATTACACATTTGGTAAATTTTTCAGATACATCAAATACTGGCTGTTGAGAATTACAGCCTATTATTACACTGGTGATTATAAGGTTCTGACACACTATAAGGTTCTTAAATTGGAAAATGTTTAATGTACTAACATTGTTGAATATTTGAATATTTCAAAATATTTAGTCATATCTGAAAGTAATTCTACAACTATAGACCAACTCAGAATGTTTGTACACTTAAAGGTAGATATTAACACTGGGGCAAATTCTGGGATGGGGGTAAGAATGAGTCTGCATTAGCCGTTGAAAGCTTGCATGTGCTGTTGACAGTCACCCTCAAATTGAGTGTTTCCTCAAGTGTGATTGGATAGTGATGTACAACCTGTGGTACTGAACACAACGAAATTCACTATGCCACCATGTAAGGATTTTATTGATAGCTTTTAGAATGGCAACTCAACAACACGTGGGCTAGTTTGACAGACCCCGAGCAGGTTAACCTGGGCCACATGCCTACTGCTGATATCTGCATTGTGTCTCCGGTGGTCTCAACAGAAAAAGCTCTACACCCAAATGTGCACTTCCAGAGCATTGAATGCTTATGATATTTTACTGGGTATGGCATGCAGTGGCAATAAGTTAGTTGTTCTCCTGCTAGCATTGGAACAAACATTCCAGTATGCAGGTTGTCTTGTATGCGTTAGTGGCCAGATGACTGTGGCATGACCTTTAAACTTGGGGTTTCTGCCCAAGGCCATTTATCACAATTTTGTAAACCAGTTGATTGACTTTGCAGTGTCAGTTTGCCATTGCGCACACTACCGTGCTACATAGACTGAATGGCAGCAATCCGATCCTCAGACCAGCTGTTCGTCTGTCATGGTGGGAAGACACCAGGGGCTCCCTTGTTTAAACAGAGCCTGGCGCACTGGGTGGTGGACATCGTCACCATGGCCTATAAGTGGGCAGGATAACAAGTCGTGATGTACTTAGAGGCTTGCCATTCCAGGACGTTTGCATTTCTGTACCTGGACATCACTGTGTGTCATCTCTATGTTCTTCAAAGTTAACATCACTGCTCTTAGTGGTGTTAGTGCAGCGGTCAGCTCCAAACACATTTGCTGTGGTAGTTTGGTTTCTAATGACGCTGTGGTGTACGTTACCCAGGTGATTCTCACCACCCCTGTCAAGTAGAAAGTGTGAAATTGTACTCTGGTTACGTATGTAAATGTGGTTCTATGGACCTCAGATAACCCCAGATGTCATTTGGAAGCAACGCCGACCCAGCAAGAGCTTGGCGAGAAGGTTCCAGGGAAACTATTTATTGCAAGTACTGCGTCATATGTTACTTCTTGACTTTGTTGGAAGGTCTTGGCATGCATACAAGAAGGTATCCTGGTAATTCTCACTGCCCCTGGCGGTTATTAAGGGTTCAAAGAACCAAAGTTACATGTAAATAAAGATTATTCTATCGTAGTTTTACAACTACTCTTTGCTACAGTTCTCCGTTTTGAGAAAGAACACTGCACAACCCCCTCATCTGAGACCAGTCAACATCTGGTATTCAACATCTGGATCTTGGAATTAAAAGGTCCTTTCTGACATGATTGGGATTTTAAGATATTGAGTCTGACTGGTCACTGGACTGATTTTGCAGCAATTATTTGGCAATGTTTTTTTTTCAATGCTATTTTTCACTTTCATCTCTCTCTTATATTAGCACTTCAATTTTCTCTTTCTGGTTTGATCCTGAGCTTGGGTTACTGTCTGTGTAGGTTTCTCCCAGTGTCTGTGTGGGTTGTCCTTGGGGTCCTCCGTTTTCCTCTTAACTCCCAAAACTTACTGTAAATTGTACCTAAGGTTGAATGAGGGTGTGAATATTTGTGTACATGCAGCCCTGGACTGGTATCCCATACAGAGTGTATTCCTACGTCACGCCTGGATCCACCACACCCCTGATTGGTTACCGAAAAAAAATGAATGAGGTTTCTCCTTTTTTGACTTGGGTGGTGGTGTGGAGGATTGAAGTGTGACCAATCAGTGGTGGTAACATTAGCTAGTAGTCAGCTTAGTGGATTCAATTAACTACTATTTATCAAAGTAACGGGTATAACTGAGGTTGGAACTGCAAACAAATCTAATGAATTAGTGCCTATAAATTTAATTAGCGTGTGAACATTTACGTATAAACTACACATAGCTTCGATCAGTGTTGGGCAGTAGCTATTACTTTTTTAGTACTTAGTAGTTTGTAAACAATCAGTTGTATGTAGTCAAGCTATTTTTTTAACCAAGCAGCCTTTATATATGTGACATCATTTCCTTCCCATTATTTT